CACGCCACAGACACACGACACGCACGGAGCCGCGGCCGGGCTCGCTGAGCCCGCCAGGCGCCGCGCACACTCGCCCCGCGCCCACACGCACACTCGCGCACAGCACAGGGCCCGCCGCGGCAGCTGCCCAAAGGCGGCGTTCGGTCCGGATCTCGGCGGGGCTGGAGGTGAGTGAATTCCTCTGGATCAGCGCGCCAGCGGCCGGCGGGGTCGGGGGAGTCCGGGCTGGAGCCGAAGGGCACCCCCGGCCGCCAGCGGGGGTGGGGCTTGGAAGGGGACCCAGAAGGGGGAGGGTGAGACGAGGAGAACCACCCCCAGTTCCTCCAGGTCTGGGGATCCCCGTGAGACCCCCAGGGGACCACCCTGCGCGGAGGCGGTGGGGGCGGGGGTGGGCGGAGGCAGGGGAGGACACAGAGGACGATCGGTGAGGTGAGCGTTTTTGGGGGGTGGTGCAGAGGCTTAATGGTGGATGGGTGTGCTAGCCAGTGCCACGCCGCATCTCTCTGCGCCCACCTTTGCGAATGGAAGGCCCTGACCCCCCTCTTTCACGAGGTCCTGCCAGTCAAGGGATTCTAACTGGTAAGAGGGGTTGGCTGGCGCTGGATGGCTGGCCCAGGGGGAGGGGTCCAGGGTGGGGCTTTAGCCCCTGCCCAGCAGGGGTCGGCGGGTGGGTGAGAGGACCAGAACGGTGCGGTGGGGATCCTTGCCCCTTCCTCCACTGGCTGGTGTGGGGCGAGCAAGGAGGCAGCCCAGGGAAGCGGCATAAGCCGGCAGACTGCAGCTCTGGCAGCGCGGGGCCACTGCCGGCTATGTGTGTGTGTGTGTGTGTGTGTGTGTGTGTGTGTCCGCGAGTGCGTGTGCCAGTGCGTGTGTTTGCATGTGTGGGCTCCAGCAACTGGTGGGGGAGGGGAGGGGGTGGGTGTGTTGTCCGGGGCAGTGTGTGCACGTGGGGAGGGATGTGGGCGCCGGGTGTGGACACGGAGTGGATCCTGATGTGTGTCTGCACACACGCAAACACACAGACATGCACACATTCTGTGACCCAGCAGGGTTTCCCAGGATGTTTGGAGAGGAGAGAGCTGGTGAGCGTGTTTGTGTGTGCGTGTGCACTTGGGGAGCTTGTTCAGGATGGAGGCTGCCAGGCTGTAGTGTGTCAGGCGTGCCCACGCAGGGAGAGGAGGGGGAAGTGGCAAGGACCCTTGGTCAGTTGGAGAAGCGTGGTCCTCCAGGGCACTTTCTGCAGCTCTGGCCCTCCCCCTGGGCTCTGCCCAGCCGGCAGCTGCTTCTGGAGGGCACTGGCTTGGTCCTGGCTGAGCGACACAGGTGTTGGGCTGGAGTGTGTGCGTGTGCGCGTGTGTCCAGGCTGCGGCTGTCACTGTCAGCAGGCCAGACTGTTGGAGGCGAGCAGCTGGGGGAAGGGGCGGCTGCTGGCCGCACCCGGGAATGTGGGAGAAGCTGCCAGCCCTGGGCTGCCTGATTCAGTTGTGGGGACATTTTAACAAGGGGAGCTGGGCGGATTTGCATGTGTGTGCGTGCCTGCTCACACCCCTGCCCCTGAAGCCTGTGGATACCTGTGGGACGTGCCATGTCTAGGCTGTTAGCAGGATGTGTGGGCTTGCACATGTGTGTTAATGTGTGCCCTGTTGGGGGGTGCACGCACACACCGGTGCCATCCTGAGCTAGCTCTGGGCTCTGCAGCTACGTGTGGTGCCACAGGGACCGTGGGCCCCCGGTTGGTGGCGGGAGGGAAGAGGACGAACTGAAGGGGGCCATCACAGAGAAGCGTGTGTGTGACGTCAAGGAGAATGTTGGGGTGTGACATCAGCTCCAGGCTGCTAGTGACGTCACTGGGACAGCTGTGCGAGGAGCCGCCCCCACTGGCCAGTGTGTGTGTGTGGTATCACTGTGGAGTGTGTGTGAGGGGACAGAAGAGGAGGGGATGGAGCCTTCGTGTGCCTGGGCCCCTGAGAGGCCTCATCTCCCTGTGGCCCGAGCGGATGTGGGACCCCTTCCTGGCGTGTGCCTGCAGTGCTGCCTCTCCTCTGCCCTCACGCAGAGCGCCCCTCTTCTGAGCTCTTGTTGTCCGTCCCAGGCAGGCCCCACCGCCTGGACACACGTGTTGTAGAGAGTGAGTGTGCCAGTGAGCAAAACCGCGTGTGACGATAGAAAATTGCCACAGCCACCGAGCCCAGGACGTGGGGCTTTCATCTCGTCTGGCCATTCCTCCTGTTCTAGGATGTAGGTATTCTGTTACCTCTCGGCGTCCCTGTCATGTGCAACCTGGACGGGAGAGGTGAAGCGGGTCCTAGGAACCACTGGCCTGGGTGGGATGCTGGGGCCTGGCTCCTGGCAGGGCTCAGCCCCCATGAGCTCTGTCCTCTGTCCTTCCCACCCAGGGTAGCTGCTCCCCCATTTTGGTTTAAGTCTAACTCAGTAAAAACTTTCTTTTCTTTCCTTGGATCAGCCTGGCAGTCCTGGGAGGTGGGCCGGCTGGCTGCTATTCTGTGCACATTTGACGGATGGGCAAACTGAGGCCTGTTCTCTGGCCTTTAATGTGCATGGCTGCAGGGAAACCTCTCTCAGCAGGTCCCTCCTGGAAGCGGATGGTAAGGGGTGGCAGGGGCTGAGCCAGAGTGGCAGGTAGCTGAAAGGTCCCTGGCTGGGGCAGACCTTGCTCTTGACTCTCGGGCAGTGCTGCGCATTCTTCCAGCCTACAGATCCGGGTAGAAATGGTGCACCAGCTTCCAGGTCTCCCTTAGTGAGGTGTGGGGTCTGGGGTCACTGGGTGCTGCGTGACTGCTCCTTAGTGTGGCTCCCTTGTCACCCAGGGTCTTACAGGATGTCAGGTGTGGAAGCACAGCTGGCTTCCCGGGCAACCTGTGCTACCTCCTGGTTATGTGTGACAGTGATGGCGGAGAGGCTCCGTCTGTACGAGGGCAGTGGCTGCTGCCTGTGGGGCGCGGTGAGTTAGTGTCTGGGGATGCCAGGGGATGGAGTGCCACCTGGGCAGATGTGACATCCGGGTGCAGGCCCTGGCTCCCTCCTGTCCTGCAAGCCCTCCCTGTGCGTGTGTTGCACTTGTATCCCAGTGGCTTCGCCCCAGGCATGAGCCACCTTACAGTCAGCCCTCTGCGGCCGGGTGAATAGACCAGGTTAACTCAGCCCCTCACCTCTGCTGCCCCAACCCCATCCCTGATTAAAGTAATCTTCTCCTGGTCAGTTAGCACGTGGTGGAGAAACTGCCAGCAGAGCTGTGGCCGATGTCTAGGGAGCTGGAGTCACAGAGCCCCCTCTCCGGTGCCCCAGTCCTGTGCGAAGTCCTTGGGAAAGCCCTGGGGATGCCAGGGGATGGAGCGCCACCTGGACAAGCATGTATCTGGGGCCCGGAGGGAGGGTGGTGGCCGCCAATGCTGCGGATAGCAACAATGATAATTATAGCAATAGTAAGAACAATGATATGAGCTAATATTTATGGAGCTCCCACTGAGAGCCAGGCCTGGTGTGAAGCTCTTTAGGAGCAGCACTTGGCACTCTAATGCCACCAAAAACTCCTGAAAGGAGGAGGTATTCTTATTCCCCACTTCACAGACAACACAGAGAGGTTGCAGACCAGTCCAAGGCCACACAGCGGTGGAACCAAGACTGTTCCCCCCGTGGATAGACCTCTGAACCAGCGCCATCCACCGCCTAACTCCTTTGCCAGGTGGGCCGGGGCCTTTCCACCTTGAAGTCCGTCTCTAGCTGAGGACCCTCTTGGGGCCTTGCTTTGATATTGGTACATGGGGACAGTGACCCTTTCCCGTGACTAGAGGGACAGAGGGGCAGAAAGGAACAGGCTTGGGGACAGCTCCTGGGTCTCGTCCCCCCACTCTGCCTGCGCAGGGACCTGTGAGGTCCCTCAGGCTTCTCTGGTGCCTTCTGCATGGCTGGGCCTGGGCATTGCTTGCGGGACTCTCCAGGATCGTGTTTTGTCCAGGTGCCAAGTCTGCTGTGGTCATAGCTGCCCCCGAACCTGCCCTACCCCTCCATCTTGCTTATGGGGAGAGCAGGGGCTCAGGTCACATTTTGTCGCTTGTCCTCGTCCTCGTGTGTCTGGGGCAGCCAGCGCATCTCCGAAAGTCCCCGCTTCCTTGAAAGCAGGGCTGCGGGTTCCAGTTCCTATCCTCGGTCTCAGCACCCTGGCTGGTGCGTGGTGGGGGTCGGATGGCCTCCCTCCTCCCTCCCATCTGCCTCTTCACTCTTCCCTCGCTCCCTGGATCGGATCTAAGGCCATGTGTGTTTGTGTGTGTGTGCTTGTGTGCGTGTGTGTGCATGTGCGCACGCATGCGTGTTTCCATCTCATCCTTTGCAATCTGTCTGTCTCACCCTGTGACATCTCATGGATTTCCAGAGCCCAGGCTGTAGGGAGGGCCAGGGAGCCGTCTGTGCCTCGGGATGGTACATCGGGCCCAAAGGGTGTGTGTGTGTGTGTGTGTGTGTGTGTGTGTGTGCACGCGTGCGCGCGCGCCCTGATCACCACTGCTCTCAGGGAAAGTGCAGACTTGGTCTCAAGGGCTGCCTGACCAGCATGCTGAGCCCCACGACTCAGGTGACTTGGTTCCCTCTTGGACCCGTCTCTATCATCTCCTTCCTCTACCGTCCTCCTTGGATCTCGGGGAGACACAGATTGTGAGGTCAGCCTGCCACCATCCCTTGCTAGCCTTCCTCATTTCCGGGTAGGGGTTCCTCCTTCTGCGGTGAGCCATTTCCTGTCTGTCCCTCCTACTGCCCATGGGCTCCACATGCCCTCAGAAAATACCTGTTGAACAAACCCCTTTCGTCTCTGTGCTCTGTGGATCGTTGCGTTCCCCATGCAGACAGGGCACACACGTGTGTTCTTATGAGCATGCTGCACCCAGGAGGACTGCTGGGCCCTGGGGCTCGGGCAGGAGCCCCCCAGAGATGAGTCCCTGCCTGGGGGAGCTCAGGGCCCTGGAGGATGAGCTCCACAGAACAGCTGGCAAGCGCACACAGTAGGGCTTGCTCGGCAGATGGTCCTTGTTAGTGCGTGACCTGACCGACAGGGATGGTGCTGCCGGCTGGAAGCAGGTGCTGAGCCAGCCTTGTGGCAGGGCTGGGGAGGCTGGGACGCCTTCTGCTCTGGGCATTGCGGAACTCCCTCGACTGG